AAATTTACCAACTGATCTCGTTCAGATTTAATTGCTAACAATGGTTGTTTCAATGTTTTTTTTGTAAAATATGATGTAGCATTTCCTTGAAAATATGTCGAAGCAAATTTTGCAAATGTATATTCTTTTAAATCTTCATCTTGATAAGGTAATGGTAATGGTTTATCAATTCGTTCAATGTTATCTTTTGATTGTGGCATATTTCCTAATGTTGATTGCATTCCACCTGTTGTAACTGTTGTCGGACGATGTATAGGTGTTGTTCGTTCATCGCCACTTGATGGAAATATATTATTAAATACATCACTTTCATCTACATTTTTTCGTTCCATTGATAAACGTTTTGCTTCTGCACGTTCTCTTTCACGACGTTGTTGTTCAAGACGTTCTTGTTCAGACATTTCACGTTGAAGAATTTTTAAACGTTCTTGATATTTTCTTTCAGCTTCTTCTTTAGCACGTTTAGCACCTAATTTTGGTATTAAACGTTTTTCTTCTTCATATCGTTCTTGTTCAGCTTCACGATACATTTTTTCTTGAAGACGATATCGACGCATATGTTTTTGAGCAATATGACGTCGAACTTCAGATTGTAAAATAAGAATCGCATTTAATTTACGACTATAATTTTGACGAGCTAAATTATATATAAAAATATAATAAAAAATTTTTTTGACAAACAAAATTGTCTCTTACCAAGATAACCGCGACAAAATCGTTGAAGATTAAGTATACGTGAACGTAAAACAGAATAACGTAATGTTAACATACGTGTATGAAATTGTGTTTGTAAACGTGTAAAACCATTCGTAATAATTTGTAAACGTCTTGCATCTCGATAACTTTTACAATAACGTTGAATAAGAAGAACACTTTGACGTAAAGTAACAAATTGTCGACGAGCAATCCATGTACGAATAGAATTTTGTAATATAAGAATTTTTCGAGCCATTACTTGTTCACGAGCTTGTTCAAGAAAAACATCTTGTGCATCCTATGAATAACGATTTATACTCTTAGCTGAAATCTATTTTTTTTTATTTACCTTAAGAAAAACTTTTGTTCTACCAATTTGATAATCTTGATTAACTAAAACATTTTTACAAATTTTATCAGCTGCTGCTCGACAATCTGCTTCAACATGTGATGGTCCAATGCCTGGTGCCAATAATCGATATCGATCAACAAAATCTCGAAATAAATGCCGTATTGGATAACCTTTTCGTCGAATACTTATTGTTTCCATCATACCGGAATAACGTAATTGTCGACAGACTAATGCTCGATCAAAATTCTATAATAAAATTCATTTAAGAAAAAAACAAAAAGTTAATTATCAAATATTTACATCGGCTGCTTTGTATTCATTTGGTTTAATACAACGAACGAAAAATGGTTGACATGCAGACAAAATCGACATAAGTGAATCAAGTGATTTCTTGAATTGTGTGCCAAGTGTTGGTGCACGTTTTCTTGTTTCAGTTCCAATATGAAATTCATTTAAAAATAAATTTCGTAAAAATTTACTTTGACTTTCTTGTAATAATTTCATAAGATCTTGACTAAATGTATCACGATTTTTTTCAAGAAAATCTAGAAAAATCATAAATAGACATTTGAATAAATTTAAGAAAAAACTACATACTTTGACAATCATAAAAAACATTGCCAGCAAAATGTCGAATACCAAAATTAATATTATTATCAGTTTTTCTTGGAATAAAATTTTCATTTTTGGAATGATGTGCATGAAGTTTATCACATAGTGAACGATCAGTACCTTTAGGAAAACGACTTTCTTCATCAATTAAAGCAATAATATTCAGAGATTTGCTTGCTATTAAATCAAGTATACGTTGATTATCTTCAAATGCAATATGTTTCCAATTAATATGTTCATTATCATATTCTTCTTGTTCAAGTTTAAATATATGATGAACAAAAAATTGTTGTAAATTTTCATTAGCATAATTAATACATAATTGTTCAAAACTATTTCGTTGAAAATTTTCAAAACCAAATATATCCAATATTCCAAGACTAGAAATATACATATCTTGATGAAAGGTTCGATATTTTAGAAGACGTCACAAGTCTATGTTATTTCATATCAATGTTTAAAACACTTCTCTTTAGTTTACATTAGTTTTCTATGTTCACAGATACAATCTATGCCGATATGATCTAATCTACTTGTAGTGACTCAATGTCACCGATAAAAAATGCAGACTAGTTATATATTTGATTAGCATGGTTACTCCTTGAAAAATCATTATGAAATAAAAGGAGAAAGTAAACGTCTCGACTTTCAATGATGTAATTGACAATCTTATAATAAATATTTTCTTTGAAAGAGATGCTACAATGATTAATCTTCTCGGTCATTTGTTTTTTATTACTATATGATGTGGTTTTATGAGTATATATACATATCTATATGGAAGTTGCCTCTTGTCTTTCTTATCATACAATTTGTTGTGACAATAGGTATAATACGTTTATAGATCGTAAATGATGATTAATAATAAAATAAAACTGATAAAAGTATTTTTCGATTATTTAGTCTCTAATAAAGACTGCATATTTTTACTGAATAAATATTTATATATTTATATATGAAGCAATAAAAATTTTTTCAACTCTCGAAATAAATTTATTGACAAATTCTATTTTGAAGTTTTTCAAATTAGTATAAAATTATGGTTTCATTTTTCAAAAATGTTGACTTTATACAATCGATTACCTTTTACGATATGCTACTCGATCTTGAGGTTTATATATTGCTGAATTTATTTTTTCAACAATCCATATAAACATTTTTCCATATATTCCTTTAACAAATGCATCTCTAGAAAAAGCAAATAGAACATAAAATAATAATTTTATTTTTGACATACCGAACATCACATGCTTGTTCTTGATTAAGAGGTGTAACTACTGCTTCACCATGAGCAAAAATTGTACGTTTTAAGAAACCATCACAAAGACCATTTTCATCAAGCTTAAAAATAATTTCAATACAAGCAAAACATGTATTCATTTTTTACTTTAAGTAGTTTTGATACAAGACGAAGAACATTTCGATTCGCTACTATACAAGTATCCATATTTTGAGTTGTAGTTGCTAAAAACAATCTTTCCTATTCTTTATTCCAGTGAATAATTAAATATTTACCTTGAAATTTTAAATTTCCTAAATTTAAAACAGCTGATAATAATCTAAGTATATCATTTAATTCTTCATCACTAAACATTAACACTTTGCAAGCACTTTTTATTGTTGCCCATTCTTTTGCATCATCTCTACTATCACAATAAATTGTTCCATCAAGCTAATAGAACAAAACGATTTAAAAATAAAAATATAATCCGTAGTAAAAATACCTGATTAAGATAAACATAATCACTAGCAGTAGTTAAATCTAATGCTTGCTTTTCTTCTTTAGACATTCCAGCTAACATACAATAAAAAACATGATAATTTCGTTCATCTCGAGCCTAAAATTATACATATATATATTTATAATTATCAAAAACATTTCAATAACGAACTTGAGAAACAATACGAGATTTTTCTAATAAATATTGTTCGATTTTTGCTCCTTCAATAGCTCCTCGTTTATCGAAATGTATATCAATATATTTTCCAAAACGTGATGAATTATCATTTCGAACAGTTTTTGCATTTCCAAATGCTAGAAAAAGTAAATAAATAACATTTCTTTCTTCTTATTATTATTTATCCGAAAAAAACAACCTTCAAGAATTGGATTAGCATCAAGTATTTGTTGTTCAATCCATGAATGTTGTCCACTTGTTGCTGCCAAAAATTGTAGAATTAATTTTGTTGATTCAGTTTTTCCACTACCACTTTCACCACTTATAATAATACATTGATCATGTTGATAACGTTGCATACTCCAATATGCATTATCACCAGTAGCAAATATATGTGGTTGTAATTCACCAATTTTTTTATTTGAATATTGACGCATATATTTAATATTATAAATATCTAATGATTTATATGGATTAACAGCAACTAAAATTGATCCAGTATAAGTCTAAAAATTTAATTTAATAAATGGATTTTTGTTTCTATTAAAAGAATTTCTTACATAAATAATATCTTCTTTATATCGTATATGAAGATTATGGAGTATAGCAGATTCTTTAAGATCACCTAATAATATCATATCATCTACACCTTCAATAGAACTGATATGCATTGAACGAAATTTAGTTTGGGCAGGAAAATGGAGTTCCTTAAAAAGATTCATTAAATATATGACGATAATATGAATAGAAAATCTTTATACTTGTTCATTATCATCAATTAAAACAATTTGTCCGGCTTGTGTAGCGACCACACGAGCACCAATTTCGACATTGAATTCAGTGCCCGTACGCTGATCGATCCAAACATGATCACCCTATAGATTAAAAAGAAAAACTCTTTTTTCTATTGAATTTTTTTCTAAAGAAAATCTAAGAAATATTTCAGCAAAAGCAACCTGTAAAAAATAATGAGTAATTGGTATCAATGTCATAGGTTTTTTCTTGTTTTAATTTAATCTATATATGTTTACTTCAGGTAAGCAAGCGCGTGTCTATCTGTTGGTTAAAAATCGTAAGTTCTGCCCTTTATGTACACATTTAGTAAGCATCATTCAAGTACAATTACACTAAACGTATGTTCATCTATTGACTTTCTTTTTCTTTGTTCTGTATGCTTTCGTATTTTATGCATATTATTATAATTATTTACCATTAATAAAACGACTCAGAGATTTTTTTACTGTAAATAAAGAGGAAACTTTTATTTTTCTCTGTCATGATATTGATATTCTAATTCAGTTTTTGAGTATATATTATGTATATATGCATGTGTATAAACTTAGATCAACATTGAAAATTAGTAGATATAAAGAAAAGACAAAAAATTTAGAAAATGAGCACATGTCAATAAGCGAACATTAGCGCGGTCGACAACGACACATAGTTTGCCAAGAGATCAATGTCTGATGTAGACAACTATATATATATATAAGCGTGATGTAACTAACATAGAACTATGAATAAGAAAGAATCAGTTGTAAATCAAAATGGAACATGAATAGCAAAAATAATTTTTTACGATGATTTAAAAACATAGCAAAATTAGATGAACAACAACTATTTAAAATATTTTTATACCGGAGAATATTCCATAATATGACTATGTATTAATAATTGTAGCAAACTGTGGAAAGTTTAGTAGTGAAAATTAAAAGAAAATAAACAGTTAACTTACTTTTGAAACGCTCACCATTCAGTATAAGCCTGAAAGAAGATATAAACGAATATGTAGCATTTTGAATATGTGTAAGACACAAAACTTTTATAAAAAAGACATGAAAGACAAATTCGTTAAAGAATAGTGGCACACATACACACATACACAATCAAAGATTATGCATCACATTTTCTTCGTCTTTCTTCCTTCTTTCAGGTGAGTATATACTTGCATGCCCGCCCGGTAAAGGTAGTCGACTGCAAAGTATGGTTCTCTTCTTCTTCTTCTTCTTTTCTTCTTGAGTTTGTTCTCTAACTTTTTTTTTATTTGAACAAAATCTTCCCTCCTGTCGAGCACGCGTTTGTGTGTGTGTGTGTGTGTGTGTTCTTCTTGCGTTCTTTGTCTCGCCTTTGTAATGACTGACCAAATGTAATCGATGTATAAGTCGCCTTTCTGCTGTCTCCTTCGACTCATTTTTTTTTCTTTTTATTATTATTCTGATACTGAGCTCAAGTAAACGAAAGAAGAAGAAGAAGAAGAAGAACGAATGGTTCTTTCTCTTTCCTTTTATTCAGACAAATAGTGTAGACAGCGTCTCAATCACGAACATATTTTAACATCGAATCTGTCAACTAGTATGGTATATAATTTGTTCGAATATCGATGAAAGAAATGTTTACTAATATATCCGGATGAAAGTATAAAAGAAAAAGGTGGCGACAATCACTTTATAGTCTAAATTGACATATCGAAATCGGATCAATAATTAATATCGACCTTCTTCCTTAAGCTAACGGTACTCGATTTACGTTCTTTTAACATACATAAAAAAAAAGAAGACAGCTGGGGCATGCTATTACTGACAAAGAAGAGAAAAAGAAAGGGACTGAAGTATATTTTAGTAGGTGATATCTACCTGCTTATGTTGACATTTAACATTCCATTTCGAATAAAATATAAGAAAAGAAAAAACTCTTCATAAAAAAAAAGAAGATTCTGAAAGCAAATGTTTCTCTTCTAAACAATTCAATGATAATTATGATGATTCATATAGTCAAGGAATAAAAATGAAGTGAAATTAATAAATCTGAAATATATGGATTTGTTTCAAAATAAAACAATCGCATTTAGATGTGGTTTTAAGAAAATTAACACAGATGTCGTTAATTATATATTTTTGATTGGTTTATTAAAGTATTTGACAAAACCCAACCGATGACGAAGATTCTCTTCTCTTCTCTTCTTGGTATTGCACATAAATTTATTAAAATTTAAATCTAAAATTAATATTCATCCAAGATGATTCAAGTTCATGTAGATCTTCTACAAAATCTTCAGCAAGCCGTAGTTGTGTTTAACATGCCATATGGAGTGTAAGTATAATTAATTTATTATGAAAATTAAATTACCTATTTAATAAATATTTTATCTCAGCAAAGTTTATTTTTGCTAAAACATATGCTCAATATTTTAATTTATAAAACGAAAATATGTATTGAAGAAATAAACTTTAGAATTATAAAAGTATATTGTAGAAATTATTAATTATAATCTAAATAGAAGTTTTCATTTATCAGGGAAGATTAGTATAAAGATTTGTTTAAAATGACTTTAATACGTAGTACATGTCTGTTAAGAATACAAAAAAAAAATAATTAAAATGATATGAAAGATTAAATAATGTCGATACTTTTGTAATTACAAAGCTATGTGTATGGTTAAGTACTCTTAAATCGAACATATAGATTGGAATGTTTTGTAACTTTATATTCGTGATAAAAATAGAAAATTAAATATACAGTCATCCATATTATATGATCAAATACCTATTATACATCACTCATATCATTATTTGCATATTTATGATGTTAATACAAGAGTATTTGACAAATAGAATCAGCATATACTTATTTGTTAAGTCATACTATAATATACATCTTAGACAACAAACAATAGAGTTTAAATTATCGATGTAATGATGATAAAAAATTCTATAATATTTCGAGTCAAGATTCAATGTAATTATGATGTATCTCGAATTAAGTACATAAACTAGAAATTTGACAGATTTCTAAGTTTAATTATAATCGAGAGTATAATAATTAGTTTTTACGTGCTTCTGCATATGTTTGTTCAATATCCTCACTATTTTATTATTTTTGATTTATTTGATTGTAATTGGTTCAAAAAAAACTCTATTGTTTTGTTTTTACATGATTCTTCATCAAAAGCTAGATATTATAACATTTATTTTATTGTTTTATATGACTATTTTATTATCTTAGAGGTTTTACATTGTACACTTGATATCCATGATTTCAATTGAGATTATTAGCATACGAATAACAGATGAACTTTTAAATGTTCATGAGTTATAGATTTTTCAACAATATGTATATTTTGAACTTCTTTATAGTGATTGTGGTATTCAAACTGATCAAGTTACTTTCGAAAATGAAGATCAACATTGGAAAACTGTACTTCATTTTAATGATCTAATCATAGATATAAATAAAGGTATTGAAACTTCACTACCTGAAACAAATATAAATTCAAATGAAAAAGAACAAATTCGTCGAACATTCAAGTAAATAGTATGAAATCTACAAAATAAATTAATCATTCGTTTTATTTAGATTTCCATTTCTTCGACTACCCAAAATAACTGACAATGTACAACTCGACTTCACCAATATTAAATGTGCCAAATGTCAATCAACATTAAAACTTATTGCTGAAGAGTATAGTTAACTTTATTTGAAAGAAGAACTTAATCCTCTATAGTCTACTCTACACCATAGTCGACCTTTTAAAATTGTTCAACAACAAAATACCAATGTTGATGATATAAATGAAGTTATCTATTGTCATCGGTTTTGTGAAGCTCATCAACATGAACACAAACATGACTATAATGAACAAGTACAAGCTCCTCTTAATCTTCATACAGAATTAATTGTACTTGAAACAACTGAATGTTTTATAATTGCTAAAGAGTTCATAACTTCAACTCTGATCAATAATGAACTTGTTCAATGTAATCATTGTTCTTCGCATGTTGGATCATTTGGTATGTTGAATTTATCATTTGTATATTGATAAACTATTCATATTAAATTATTTTGTATATTTCTATTTAGATGTTCAAAAAAATCTTATTTCATTCGACAAATGTTCATTAATACCTTTCTCAAATGATTATTTATTATCATGTTTTCATCATCATGAACCAGGTCGATATATAGTTAAAGTACCTAAATTCAATGATTCAATATTACTTGTATGGATTCTACCTAATGAAATACTTTCTGCTGATACATCTATCAGTTCAATCAATGAATCTACTCAACTTATTTTCCATCGAAAACGAAAAATTCTCTTCACTCATATTACATCATCAGATAATAACATATTTAATGAATGGAAACGAGATTTTTCTGTAACAACACTTCTTGTTAATCGTTTATGTCTTGATCATTTATCAACAGCATTTCAACAAGAATTAAAAAAATTTCCTAATGTATTCAACAAGCAAGAATCATTTCAATCCTTGACTATTTCTTTTTAAAAAAAATCTCACTGTTATATTAGAAAAAAAATAAAATAAAGAACAGGCAAATTGTCTATATGTGTTTAGTTGTATATATCGAACGAAAAAGTCAGACAGTAAGTTGTCTTCAGCGACTAATCCTTTGTTTGTAACATGCAGTAGTAATGGTAACAAACGAAGAATGTTAATAAGACCAAATAGGAATTAGTTGACGATCGTATGAACGAAAGAAAGAACAAAAAAAAATGAATGTTATCTCTCATATGCACTCGTCAAGAAAGTGACGAGAACGAATAATTTGAAATATATAACTATGGAATCAAACGATTGCATCACGAAAGATTGTTCCAGAATATATCGTTTTCAATTTGCAAGTATAGCTTTTTTATGTAGTGTTTATCTTCCATTTACCTTTCATTCAAATATATGGCTACTTTATACACAACCATTTACTCCAGTTAATTGTTCAATGATCAACCCATCTTTTATATCTGGGTCAACGTCAAATATGCAAACAAAAACTTTACTATCAGTTCTAATTAAAGATTATAATCAACCAGAATGTTGTCCATGTAATGGAATTTTTGATGGAAGTATCACTGATAAAAATTTATTAACTCTTTGTCAAGAATGGATGACAAATATAAGCGAATTAAAAATTCGAAAAGCAACAATTATTGATGAAGTAAGTTTTAAATCTAATTTTTTTTATTCACACAGAAACTTTTATTCATATTCATAGTGGCATTTGGCATGTGGACAAGAAAATCGTAAAAATCTTATGACAGGTTCAATTTCATTTTTAATCGCTGAAATAATTGGAGTTATAACAGTTGGCATCTTAGCTGATCATTATGGAAGAAAATTAATGCTTCTTATGTGTCTTTATATTCCGGTGGTATGTAATCGAAAAGTATTTTTCAATCTCGAATATTTTTTTCTTCTATGATGATTTTAGCTTTTCGGATCATTAGCTGCATTTACTACTACTTATTCTCTATTCATTATTCTTCGTTGGCCTGTAGGATTTTTGAATAAGGTAAAACTCAATTCTATTCAATTAACAGAATAATATGTAATAAATTCTAGGGTCTACTTTTACTTGTTTATATAATGGTTATTGAATCTTGTGAATACAAACATCGAGCACAAATTGGTTGTCTTCTTCTTGCTTCTATACCTATTTTTGGTATTATTATTGGCGTTACTTATTTTTTTCTATTAGATTGGCGTCATATGCAATTACTAGGTATTGATAGGAATGACATTTTTTGTTCTTCTTTACATTTTATTTGTTTAATCTAGGTACATTGATTACTACTTTAACTCTTTGTTATCCATGGTAAAGAATACTTATTATTTCATATTATTTTCTACTTTATTAATAATTAAGGTTGATACCAGAATCTCGTCGATGGTATGTGAATAGTCATCGTGTATCACGTGTTAATAAACTTTTACAATTATGTTCAAACAAACAAACATCAACATTAGGTTTCAATAAAGTTGGTTCATTAGCACCATCAACTATTATTTATGATAAACCAGTTTTATCACAAGATGCACTTTCTGCTCAAACATGTTCATTAGCTGGTTTATTCATTAATCGACAACTTCGTACAATTACTTTTTGTTTATCAATACTTTGGTTTGATTTGATTTTCTTTAATATTCTATTTGAAATGATTTTTATTTGAAATTTAAGGTTTCTTTCATCATTCTGTTATCGTTGTACATCTTTTCCATCAATATTTCCACATCCAACTATGAATTATGTTTTAATGAATGCAACAGAATTTTTTTCATTTATTATTGCATTTCTTGTCGCCTATAAGTACGTTTAAACATACATTGATACGATTTATATTATGAAATTTGTTTCATAGAATTGGTCGACGAGCTCCAGTAGCTGTACTTATTTTAATCAGTGGTCTATCATCAGTTTCATTTGCAATTACATTACTTGGAACAGGTTTAAATAAAATAAAGATTTATTAGGGTTCTGTTTTTTTTAAGAAACTAATTTTATTTCAAAGGACATATATGGCTTGAAATAACATTTTCACTTGTTGCTCGTGGTTGTCTACGAATTTGTTATTGTCTTTTGATTCTATTTACAACTGAACTTTATCCAACATCAGTTCGGTAAATTTTTCTTCTAAATATTTATACATAAATATACACATGCTTAATTTATTTCATAGAGCAACTGGTTTGGCTATTGGACTATCGAGTGAAGTTATAGCACGAATTTTAGTTGAACTTCTTCTCTATGTAAGTTGATTTTATGAAAACTTCTAAAATCTAATTTGTTTCTCTAGTATGCAATCGATCGAATATTACTTTTGTTTATATCTGGTGGTATGCTATGTCTTAGTTGTTGTTTAATATGTCCATTACCTGAAACAATACTTTATGATTTACCTGATTCATTAACGGATCTTCAATCAATGAAACGTTCAATAGGAAATGATAATAATGGTGAAATATCACCACATAATCCTCAATGTCATATGATCGATTCAAATACACTTGCATTTCCTCGTTTATCTCAATCAAATACAGAACAATCTAATCTTAATGATTTATTCTCCTTAAGTCCAAAAACAATTTTAAAAAACACAACAACAAGAAGGAAATGGTGTAGAAAAAACTGTTACTATTCATTCTCAACCTGAAGTAATACAAATGAATTCATATAGATCATCATTAAATGGTTTATCAAATCCATGTTATTTTACTTCATTAAATGATAGAATTGATCAATATGAATTTGAACAACAAATTGATAATCGATTAATGTTTAGTATTCAAGGTACACAAAATAATAATAATAATAATAATACTGAAGAAGAAATTGAAAATACCAGATTTTAAATATAAACTTATGTAGTAATATGTTTCTTGTATCTTTTTTTGTATTTATTAGTAAAATATAAATAAACTAAAGTCTTTATATATGATGGAAATGGCAATCAAAACAAAAACAGATTAAAGATACGGTTTAATTATTATTGAATCATCGCTATGTGTGACATACTGATACAGCAGAACATTCGAAAACATTTGAGTCATTCGTTAAAACATTAACCTATGACATATAAAACGATACTATCCAAGTACAATCAACCTATTATCCGTCTACATAGCATCAGTTTATTTTGACATACAAATAAAAATTTGATGCTAACGAGTATGTCATGCAGTGAAATTATCCTGAAATTGGGTTAGGACAGAATATGCACATCAATACAATATTTTCTCATTGGATTTTTCTATTAACTCAATAGTCCTTATCATGAAAATGTTGACCTATATATCTACATTTTAACTTCCGTGAATATATCATCTCGAAATAAGAACATTCTTCTATTCTCTATGCCTATATCACTGATGAACGAAATACAAACAAATTGAATGCATATGTCCAATAACTAGATCTATTGATATTTAGTGTAACGTCAAATAGTTCAAATACTTTTTCTCTTTTTCTCTCTCACTCTCTCTCTCTAGAAAGAAATATATAAAACAAAAACATACAACAGTCATTTCTCATTCGAACGTTGTCGAGTAAAGAAGTGTGATATCCATATGAATAACAACATATTGAAAAGAATAAGACAAAACATGTGAATGTATCTATCTTGTAAGTAGTTCTATATAAAAGTAAGTATATAACTATTTGGTTTATGTAAATCACCTCTGATTTCGAGTTCATTCGTATTTTTAAGTATTATAAACTCGAACTCACGGGTGGATGTACAACCAGATGAACAACATATCCTAAATTCCTGTAAAAAAACAATAAAATTTATTTTTTCTATATTTAGTTTAAAACGTAGATAATTTTTTCTAATAAAATTTATTCTCAAAATATTGTATCATTAATCAGTGTATAATATGAGTTTACATGACTAAATTATTGATGAGCAAATAGATTTTGTTCATTGTATAATCTAATTACAAGGAAATACCACGAACTTATTAGATTAGTCTGTTATTATACGAAAACTTAGCAATATTCTTTGTAATAAACGAAGTAAAACTATGATTTTATATTACTTAATGATAAAGTGTACAGGGTCTCCAATTAGGAGGGGACCTGGGGGGGGGGGGGAGCGGGGGTCTAGGCCCCGCAAAATTCGAAAAGCTGTCTGTCTTTCTGCCAAAATTTTCAAAGTTTTGTTGAGAACTTGGTCAGAAACCTGGTTTTTATGCTATTTTCGCCAGAAACTCCAATAAAAACACTTTTTTCGGAGAAAATTCCGCAGAAAGTGTATAACTTAAGTATTTTCTACGTTATATGCGTCAGAAAGCTATATGACGGCACTTTCTGCCAAATTTTATCCCTCCCCCCGCCCCACTTTTGAAAACAATCGGGCACCCTGAAAGTGTACATTATTATCATATTCGAAACTTAAAATACAACAGAAGGAAAGATAATATCCATTTATGAAAGAAAATACTTGATCGTATAAAAAACATCATCATTAATTGTTTGAAACTAAATAAACAATAATCATTTTATTAGGTAAGTAAAATGTTATCAATATAATTGATTCTATAACATGAACAAACTAAGCAAATGATTAAAATCTAATGTTCATAAATTTATTTTTATTGCTATTCCATATTGCAATAATTTGTCAATTATATGTATTTGAAAGGTTTGATTAAACAAAACAGTAGTTAATCGTAATAGCTATGAAATGGGTTTTTTTCTTTTTTTGGTACAAATTTATAACAATTATATTATGTCGTTAATAATTAACAGATGACATATATATATATTAATTCTAATATAAGATAAAATTAATAGTTTTTTAATATGCAAGGAGAATGTGTATGTCAACTTATTGTTGAAAGAAATAGTAATAAATAATTAAACACCAAGGTTTGCATATATCAAATTTCTTTAGATAAGAAAAACCAAAGTAATATTTATCATTGTTTTTCTTTTTGACAACAATTTTCGCATTATTTAATGCATATGAGATCGTTCATGTATGAAAACGAATACATAATATACGTCGTGTAAGAAAGAAAGAAAGAAAAAAAAATGTATAATGTTCAATTCAAATAAAAACAAACGAAATAAATAACTAGTTCATATATAGATATGCACACTATTTTACAATTTTCGAAAATCCCATCGAAGTAAACGTTTATACGTCTTTTTAAATTGTCGATTAGCAAGTGCATAACAAAATGGATTAATTGGACTATTTAAGTAGCAAAGATAATAACAAGCATGAAAGAGATATGTATTGAACACAATACTTTCACGACATGTTTTGCAAAATGTTTGAATTATTGTATGAATATGCCACTAGAAAAGAAAAAAAGAGAAAGAAAATAACCAAAGTTTTTCAAATTATATAATATATAAAACAGTTATTTTTAGATCTTCTTTTTTTTCTGCTCATCATTACTATTTTCAGTAAGAAAAAAGAGAGCGAACAAAGCATGTGATATCATAAATGTCCTTCTGCGTAGTTCTACTATATTCACTGTTAAACACTTAGGAATATAAGTATGCTTTTATATAAAAATGTCAATCTACTAACTGGTGTCCAACATAGAACAAATGCACCCATAATAACAGTAATAGTACGTAATGCTTTTCGTGCTTTATTACTGTTACCATTTCTACCAGCACATGATTTTTGTTTTGTTGAAGATGATAATAATGAATTATTTTGTATGTTAGGTAGAAGTAATCGATTTTCTTCTAATTTTTTATTTGATTCAACTTCAACACGTGTAATAGGAAGTGAATTAGGTACAGTAGGAGATATAGCAGCTACAGATGCATGTTCACCACTAGTTTCATTTGATGATGAACGATTGGTAACATCAAGTCCATTTGATAATCTACTTTGATTACCATTATTCGTATGATTGATAAATGAACTTCTAATATCATCATCAAGACTTGTATTACGTCTTGATAGTGATGACAGACTTGGTTGTTGCAACTTTTTTTTTTTCTTTGATCGTGCAGATGATGATAAACAAAGTGTTGTTTGAGTAAGTTGATGATTTTTTGACATACTTATTACAAGATCTGTCATTTTTGATGGTGAAACACCTATAATATTTGAGACTTTTTTAGCATTTGCATTTGAACGTTTTTCAAGTGCACTTGCAACTTGATAAATAAAAAAATACAATGTAAACATAACTAATAGTGTCACCCAAAAATAACCAATAGTTAAACCTAGAAAAAAAAATCAAATGTTTTTTGTTTTTTTATTCTATCATTCATTAGTTTTGTAACTAACCTAGATTAAAATAAGGATTCTTATTCCATTGTACACTAAAACAGAGAAAAGTAAATGTCATGATCTTTTCTATTCTAGAAACACTTGAAGGAATAAATGTCCTTACTCGCATTGAAGATCAGATACACTTAAATTTGGCTTCTTACTGTATAATGGATAACCCATAGTTGAAATAAAAAAAATGAATGCGGGTATAAACCATGTTAAAAGCACCAAAAATATGACACGTTTTTTTGTTCTCCAATTTCGATATTTAGCAGGAATTTTAACTGAACAAAAACGATCAACGGTAATTAAAAGCACCGTATATATCGATGCTAAACATACAGTATAATCTAATGATAACCATATATCGCATAAAAATGAACCCAGCACCCAACGATTTTTATATATAGCTAATGTTAAAAAAGGCATTGAAATACAACCAATTAAAAAATCACTAATAGCTAATGAAAATATAAAATAATTTGATGGTTGTCGAATTTGTCGATCAACAAAAAATGAAGCTAATACAAGTATATTACCACAAATAGTTAATAATGATATAAATGTACCAATAACAGCAAGTGCTATATTAACTTGTTGTGAATAAGGATGTAATGATGATGAAATAAAAAATGTTGATGATGATTCTTGCATGACATCATTGGTCAAATTACAAATTGTAATTGAATCGTTAAAAAATATAAACGAAAGTTGTTCTACCATACATATAATAATAAATAAATAAATAAAAAAAAGAAGAAGAAAAAGAATGAAATTATCTAGAATAAATAAATCAAATAAATACATTATTTACTTGTTTTATAACGAATCGATCTATCTAAATTACCTGATGGGTAGTGTATGGTACTCGTCACTTATCTAAAATATCTAATACACAGATATAGATAGACAAGAAGCAACGAGAGAGAGAGAGAAAGAAAAATATTTCTCTTATTTTTCAAGATATATATTGATGATATTTATCATCATTGGTTTCTCACTCTCGTTCCTCAAAAAAAAGATAGACAAAGCCTATACATCCATTCAGCTCGAGGCAATATGCACTTTTCTCTCGTTCGCTCGGGTCTTATAGTAACATTCAATTTCTATAATTGAAGTCGGTCAATTATTGTTACATCGGAAAAGCAAAGCTGAAATGTATTGTTTCTTTTTTTCTTCTTCTTCTTCTCAACTTATGTGCTTGTAATGATAATCATTTATCAAGAGACAGTTGTCGTGGACTTCGCTACTCTCTTTCTTTTACACATACTTCTCGTGTTCGCTTTCATCAAACACTATTCTTCTTGCCAATAGTCATCAATTTATTCGTAGAAGAAAAAGGGATGGAGACAGAGAGAGAGAGAGAGTCACACACTAACGGACAAAACGTTTATAGAAATGGTCTATCTATCGTTTCCTTATTTTCTTTCTTTTCTTTCTTTGGCTTCATTACTTAGAAAGAAAATTTTATTATTTGGTTAACGCTACTACAATTGATTTTCTTTTTGCTTCTTGATAGAACATTCGCACCTTCCTCTAGAGATTCGATAAATCTAAAGAATTATTTTATGAATAAAAAATGAACAAACATCAGTAATATTGTTATTATATATATACATATATACATATCTACATATATCTATATATATAGCACGTCTCTAAGTAATTTATTATAAAAAAAGACTTAAATCGTCGATAGTTGTTATCGGTTCGTCCATCTCTTCTTGCTTCTATCTAAAGAAATCATTACTAGGCTCGAGTTTCTCTAATAGCGATAGTTATTACCTTCTTATGTCGTCACTTACTCAAACAGTGATGAAAAGTAAACGAACAAGTGTGCACAACGGTTCTATGATGATAAATGAGCGTGTGCTATATGATAAGAAATGGATAGCAAGCAAGTTCTATGCTTGTTGAATGAACTAAAATAGGATGTTTATGGTTGTCGAACACAAACATACGAAGCGGAACAATTGAATAATGAGAAACGACAAAAGAAATAGAACAAATTTCTAAGAGATAGATAGGATATATATATAAATTCACTAAAATAATCAGAACAATGACAAATTGATACAGCTGGTTGTTGTAATAGACGCATGCATGCTATCAGATTAATGTGTATGTGTGGAAAGAGATTTACTAATCAACACCTACAAATTGAAGAAAAAAATCTAGTATGGTTTTTTCAATCATAGACATGAAACTTTATCGAAAAAAGCTACAATAAAATTAAGACTTGAGTGATTATATATACAATTATTATCTATTGTTTTTGCGAGTATTAAATTAAGAAGATAATGAATCAATCAATCAATTATAATGAACATTTTTTTTTATATCATGACATTTATATTCCATATATACTTTTGATTTTTTTTTTGTTTCCTTTCTCAAAAACAAAAGCTAAACTTAATGGTCTTGATTCGTGATAATCATAGTAACAACAATGAGCATATAATCTATATATTCTATTGGGAAATTATTTCATTCGATTCTTTATTATTACAACCATTCAAAATCAACACACACAATTTTTCGAAATAGTTTAACAAAAGGATATATATAAAAAAAAAACAAAACAAATCATTTGATTAAATAAGTAAAAATTAAATGCATTAATTAGAGATCATTATGAACTGTTAATTCAGCACCCCAATCAGTTGCTTGACTTCCAACAAAAACATCATGTTTATCAAGTATTTCTTCTTTAGTTAATTGATCATCCTTCATAGAAAAAAATATTATAAGAAAACAAAAAACACATAAATAAATTAAATTACTTGATTTTTATCAGCTTCATGAAATAAATGTTCAGTTTCAGCTTGTATATTATCATAATCAGTTGGCATTAACCATAATTCAACTTCTTTTCGACTCATTTTTCCATCATGATCAAGATCACGATAATTACGAAAATTTTTTCTTTCAACATCAACCCAATCTGGTTCAGTTGTATGATTATTTTCATTACTATCCCACATATCAGTTATAAATTCTTCAAGTGAAATAAATCCATCATTATTTTTATCAATATCTTCAATTGTTTCTGTTATAACAAGATCTTTCATTCGAAAACTTTGTTCAGGATGAATAAAATCAATAAATTCACGTTTATTCAAACTTCCATTACCATCTTCATCAGCTTTCAGAAATCTATATATAGAAAATAATATTTTCTTAAAACAATACACTATTTACTAATCTCAGAGGACTAGCCAATATATATATATTGTTTTTATTTAGCAGAGCTCTGACCTCTTGGTAACCTTTACGTAAAAAATGCATTTCATCAAAGTTTAATACTATAGAGATATAGTTCTATATCAATTTGCTTTTCTCTACAGATCATCCGTTAAAAATATAATATTAATTAATTATTTATATTTTATACCTTCGTCGATCTTTCTTTTGTAATCGAAGATATTGATCTGTCACTTGTTTTACTTCAGGAACATTATCATCTAGTTTCGATATAAAAATTATTTTTATTAATTTAATTTGTTTTTTAGTAATAATCTTACATAAAGCATAATATGTTACTTTATCATATTCATTCCATGAAATTTCTTGATTTGAATCATTATTCATTTGTAACCATTGTCGTTCAACATCACCAGTGATATAACGTGTTTGAACAGATTTTATCCAATCTTTTAATTCTTGTTTTGTTATTGTACTATTATGATCTTTATCAATTCGATCAAATAAAGTACTAGAATAGAATTATTGATTTAAAGAAAAAATTCATATATTTATTATTTACCCAAGACGTTTTTTACTTTCTTCAACTGATAATTTATCAAATTTTTTTGCTTCTTCAGCACCTAAAAATGCTTCATGATCATATTCAGTATTATGTTCAACTTTTTCATCTTTATTTGTATCAGCAAAATGTTCTTGTTGACTTAGCGGCTAGAAATTTGAAAGATAGTTCATTGAACAAAACAAAAAAGTGATTACGAACTAAATCAAGTACACGAGATTTGTGATCATTTTGTGTTCCTGTTGGTAAAATGCCAGCATAACATGAGATAATTAATATAGAACAAAGTATAAAAAAAAAGGATGTCATCTGAAAAGATAGAAATATATGTACAGTAAATGTGAGTATAAAATAGAATGCAAAAAACTGATTCTATATATCTATATGATTTTTTCTCTCTTCGCTTATTTCTAATAGTACTTATCATTATTAGGAATACTCAACGTCTAGCATCAGTTGTAGATAATATTCTACGGAAACAGCTCTTTTTATTGTCATTTCCTAGAAAGAAATTTTTGTTCACATTCTTGTAAGGTTTTCTGAAGAGTAAGGATGAGAATGTTCAATTAAACAGCTAAAAAACGAAAGCAACAAGTTATCTTACGATATGATCTTGGTAGTATCATTTTTTTGACAATGAAGATGAAACAGAAAATAATAATTGTAGTAGAATTTAGATATGAATAATTATTGAAAATATTTATGTAGATTATTATAAAAAAAAGTATGAATTTCAGAAAGAACAATTTTTTTAGGATCCTTCTCTTTCCTCAATTCGAAATGACAATGAGAAATCTGGGGAAAAAGTCATTCCTGTTGGACATTATTTATAGGGGCCACTATCGAAACAATGAGTAATACTTACTTCCGTATTGCTGTATAAAAGTATCGAATCAGAGAAAACCACATCGGAGATTATACAGTTGTCTCAGTATACACTACATATGTTGTACCATAGAATAGGAAAGAATAGTTTATTTCTGATATACGTATTCCAGTATTACAACGGAGAACGATAAGACAACTGAATGGATTATATCAAGCAGACATATTGAAATATGATTGTTTGATTTATCGAAAACTTGTTTAATATCATATTGAGTTGATATGAAGATATTAGTAAAATCAAAAAACAATCTAACTTACGATACATAAAATGGAAGACATTCGATATGATTCTAATATATCTATTGATGAATATTTTTATTTCTTATCTAAAAAATAAATCAATCAAGTAAATCCATAAGAATATCACTAAGTATAGTTGTATTTATTGTAATAGCTTGTTTAAGTATTAAACGTTGTTCAGTATTGATAATTTCATTATTTTCTGTACATTTTATTAAAATTTTATGAAGAACTTTAGCAAATGGTAAATTATCTGAATATATCTTTGCTGATGTTGCAACTTTTTCAGGTAAATTATTTAATAAATCATTGGAAAAATAAAACTCTTTACTATCAAACCATTTACTTATTATACATAATTCATTATCATTAAATGCACATGTACTATTTTCACATAAATAACTACATAATTTACAACGATCAGATAAATTTGTTAATTGTGTAAATAAATTTGAATAAAATAAATTAATATTATCTGTTGAAATATTTCTTATCCAAGGAACGAAACAATGACGAAGAAATTCTTCCGAATATTTATTCATTAATTCAACTAAGATAGAAAAATAATCATTGGAAATATTAAATGAAACATCAATAAACCATGAATAGATTAATGTTTGAAAACGTTTCGAAATTATATCAGAATTTGTTTCATTGAGAAGCGAAGTCAAATTTTCTATTGTACGATCTAGAATTGACAAAAACAAGACATTAAATAATAGTAAGGGAAGCCAAAAGATTAGCATCAATATGATTACTCTTAGAAGTAGCTGTCGCCTGAAATTTTTTATCCTATTTTCCAAAACTTTCTGAGTAGGTCAATACTAACTGACAGACGTATACATACCGAAAAGTGAGATAATACCTGATATCGAAAGAAATAACAGTAAGCTTATAAAACCGATGATTCTGGAAATCATACGTCTAATATCTCTATTGTTTGGATAACAAAATACTTCTCCTACACATGTTGATCTTACTTATAAATAGAAAGATTATTTTCATACCTTCAATTTTCGTCTCAATTGTAGTTGTAATTTCTTCTTCGTAATCTAAATTTTCTATAACTTCAATATTAATAGTAAATCGTAATCGAGTAGCATCAATATTTATTAAATTATTTTTTGTTGATCGTCGTCGTTTCGGTGATGTTTTCTTATCTTCTATTATCTTAGTAATATTCTTCGTTTTTGTTTCTCGAATATATCCATGAATAATCTCAAAGATTTTCTTTTCTTCATTTTTTTCGGATGTAAATTTTAAGAGATTTGAAGCTATTGTCGTATCCGAAAATGATAAATATTCATAATTATCACATATTGGAAATGTATTAAGCCAAAATTGTGCTAGACTGTCTTTTGATATAGTTGCCATTGATTAATATTTGTACATATATCAAGGATAGATAGATATAGATAATTCTCTCTTGTTTGTATTCTATCCAATGCAAATGTATGTTTAATAGTGATATCTATCGGAATGTTTTTCATCGTTAACCAATCGTTAGTTGATAGTTATTATGTCATGCTATGTTTGCATGCATCCAAATTCTAGTAAAATCATCTATCAAATGATCGATTCTTAAATGAATAAAAAACTCTTTATTTCTCCGATTACAATTCGTTCACTTTTTCGTAAAACACCAACAAAAACTTATGATATAATTACAAGTGGAGCTTATAAAACAAATAATCTTCCACGTATTGTTCCAAAAGAAATACCTCGACCAAATCATATCTATAATTTAGTCAATGGACCTTATCAATCATCAATTCTTATAAAAAATCAATGGCAATTAGAAGGTATACGTGCAGCATGTCGTCGTGCTCGTACAATTATTGATACAGTATCAGAATCTATTCAAGTTGGTATTACAACTGATACAATTGATAAATTAGTTCATGAATTATGTATTTCTCTTGGTTGTTATCCAGCACCATTAAATTACGAAGATTTTCCTCGTTCATGTTGTACAAGTGTTAATAATATGGCATTACATGGTATACCTGATGGACGACCTCTAAAAGCAAATGATATACTTAAATTAGATGTATCTGTTTATTATAATGGATTTTTTGGTGATGTTTCCGAAACATATCTTATACCAGCAGTTGATAAAACTAAAACTCCAGTTGATAATGATGCATCATATCTTATAAAACATGCACGTCGATGTCGTGATCGTGCTATAGCTGCTTGTCGACCTGGAATTGAATTTTCAACAATAGGACGTATTTGTGAAGAATATATCAAGCAATGTAATGGTTTAAAATTAGTTAAAAGTGCATGTGGACATGGTTTAGGTGAACAATTACATGAACCACCACAAGTTTTACATTATTATGATCCAAGTGAAAAACAAATGAAATGGATTATGGAAGAAGGAATGGTTTTTGCTATTGAACCTGTTATAACGGAAGGTAATGGTCGAGTTAAAATGTGTGATGATAATATTCAAGTATGTACAACTGATAATTCACGTTGTGCACAATTTGAACATACAATTGCAATAACATCAAATGGACATGAAATATTAACAGAAGGAAAAACTGATATGCGACCGAATGTTCTTGAAAGAAAAGCTGTTTTTGTGTAAATTGTTTTTTCATTTTTCGATATGTATCGAATATTATTTTTAGATGATAAAAAGAAAAAACATTTTTTTCTTACATATGAATACTTTAGAATATATATTGATATGAAAAAAAGAGAATTTCAAAAAATGTTATCATATGATTCATTTAACTATATGTGATAAGGATTGTTATTTTTGTATGTAATATCAATTGATTATTCTTCTATTGAGATAATATTTTATCTAAAGGTGTAATTGAATGTGTGATAAAATAATGGTTATTAACAATCCTTTTTTTGTTTATTTATTTATTATGGAATTTTTAGAATTCAAATGATAATAATAGATCAGTTTCTCTTTTTCGTTCAATATATTATTAATAATCTACTTTGTTCTTGATAATATAATAAAAAGAATGTAGATCATAGTTCATTCAAGAAAAATAATGGATAATAATATTTCTTTTGCTCGGTTGGCACAAACAATTACTGGGTAATAATAGTTTCATAAAGTGCTTTTCTTATTTTAGAATATGAACTAATGTAGTTTAGAGATGAATGAACACTTTCAAATAGTCTTCTTCAAATTATATGAGAAGAAGTTTAAATCTATATATCAAAAGTAAATGAATTTTTGTTAAAGAGCTAACTTTAGCTCTCTTTTTAATTATCTTACAAGCTTTCCATATGATATCATAATTTCATTACTTAATAAATATCAAGTAAGAGAGAAAGAGAAATCATATCTGTAACTCTAAAATATGAACTTTATTTCTTTACAAACGAATTTTATGTTTGTGTCAAAGATTATGAGTAGTATATTTTTGTATGGTAGGTCTTGAAACAATCAAAAAAATACACAGAGATACATTTTGTGAAGTAAGTTAAGAGAAACGTCAAGCGGTCAGATGAACAGCAGTGTTCCTATTCTAAAATTCAAGAATTCCAGAATTTTCAAATAAAAAGGCTATTGGTGTTAGTGTAGTTGTTTTTTCTTTTAATCTCATCACCCACACCCATCTATATTAACCCTTTGACTGCGGGTGATCCTATATGGTGTTATAGTGATTTTCTCGTATTTTAAAACATATAGATTCCTATGTGACATCAGTTTTGCTGAAAGCATTTATCAGAGACTATTTTTATAGAATTTAGGTTATAATTAAATTATTTTATTCTAATAATCAGTAATGGATAATAA